CTTTAAACTAAATCATTGCTAATAACAATTTTCCAATAATACCACATTAATTTATTTACTCCTGTACTAGTACCAGTTACCATATTCCAAAGATCAGCCCATTCGGTATTCTTTTCCTTCCACCCAAATAATACACACGTTTGGATTTCTATAAAGATTTTAATAATTTGCATTCTCGTTCGGCGTGGTCAGTTCATATTCGTGTTTATTATGATCGTTATGGTTATATTATGAGCATATGCATTGAATATTTATAATAATATAGTTGCAGTAACTGCTGAAGTATAAATAAACTTCCAAAAATGGGTGTGTTTTTACACAGATTAGCTTTTTAAGGAATAATATTCGGAGTGGCTTTAACCCATTAACCGCCAAAACTACAAGGAACGTTTCTTTTCTCATGAAAATAATAACAAATATTAAATTAAGCATTTATAACATAAATTTACATTGAAAATAAAATAAAATAAATAAAAAAAATGCTATCTGTGGAAAAGCGAGTGTTGCTTTAGCGCAACGTCAGCGGAATAAGACTACGGATGTTTAGTGAGTAGAATTTTACTCGTCTGATGTTTCTTTTGAGTGAAGAGCAGGATTACTTTTTAGCTGTATAACGTTTTATAAATCTACAAATCACTGTAAACTAATTCTGTAAATTGAACTTAATTTAAAATTAAAAAAAAAAGTTAATTGTTTTCCATGGTTGAGGTAATGCTCATTCTTTTAATAAATTTTGCATTTGCTCATATTTTAAATTACAAGTCTAATTTTACTTTTAAGGTTATGCAGTTGTGTATAATGTAATTAGACGGATCCTTATTTTTTCCTTAAAATGTGCTTGAAAAGGGCTTATAGGTGTTTATTTTTTTAACTAAAATGTGGCTACAAACCCTGTGATGTCTTTTTCATATTTGATGTATGCTATTAGGGAGTTAGTCAAAATTTCACACAAACAAAACGAAACAAACAAACACAAAAAAAAAAACCTAAAGCTATAAAGTGCAATTTAAAGTTAGGCTCATCAATCTTTGATTAGTGTTAATTTTAAATAAAGCTCAATTGAGGGTAAGTTTTTTTACCTTGAATGACCTATTTTTGAAGGTAAATATAACATTTTATATTGGTATGTCTCTCTTTCTAATCACTATAGTGTAGTTTTTATTAAATTGAATGCTGAAGTTTGACCTGATTAGAAATTTGTGCATCCTATCCATGGCTTTTGTTCCGATAACTGAAGAAAAAGCATTAGGTGGCAATTTATTTGCAGTAAAGCAGAAAATATTTCTTGTTTACTAAAAATTTCGAGATTTTCATGCGTTATACCTATTGAAGTCATTCAGTTTTATGAAGTAAAAGCAGTTTTTTTTTTTTTTTTTTTTTTTTAAATTGAATATTCCACTTCAAATAATTTTTCCATTTTTTGTATAAATTAAAAAAAATATTTCTGAAATTTAATTCAACTACTGTTGTACACTATCTCAGTACTATTTTTAATATAAAATAATTGTAATAATTGTAAATAATTTAATATTAAAAATATACATTGTATTTCTTTTACAAATACAGATTATTTTAATTGAAAGATTCAAGCATGAAAAGCTTGATACAATCATGATGTAAAGCTACATTACATACTTTGCATCTATAAACAGTCTGGCTATGGTACTCTTTACAACAAAGTCTTTTGTTATCAACGGACTTTACGATACAATGTCTACCATCTCCATGCAATGGTTTTACTGAATTTACTAGGTCTTCCAGTTGCTGATCTATTTCTGCCTAATTCTACACTCTCAATAGGAGTTTGCAAAAGGAATAATGTATTCTCGCGTCTGAAATCTAAAAGAGACTTATACCCAGTAGTAAAAAGTGGTGATATTTAGTAAGTTTAGATACAGTCTTACCACATATAATTTATCAGTTTGTCAATTTGACTATTGTCAAATGCAAATTCTGCTTCATATTCCTGTACTGCAAACGTGATATCGATTCTCGTACAACAGGAACAGAAATGTCCTTATCAAAAGACCAATACATTTTTTCTTGAGGTAAATAACGATATCCTGTAAGCAATAATATTCCAATAAATCTTCTCATATAGGCTTCAGATGCAATAAATTCTGGGCTTTTTTTTTTTTTTTTCTGAGCGTATATATTGTTATTGTCTGTTCAACAAAGAGAAAGAGTAAATGTCTAAACCAAAACGAAAATTGAAAATCTGTGCACTAGTTGTACCTTGTGTTTTGTCTTTTATAATTTCTCTTCTATCTCTTTCTTCATGTTCTTCGTGAGACATAACTAACAGTTCCTTTTTTTCCCACTTCAAGATTTCAGTCTTCTGCTTTTTAAACTTTTAAGTATGACTATAACTGCTTTTAAAAGGCTGACACTTATTTCTTACGTGAATTTCAACTTCCCCAGCAGTATCATTTGGTAAAATATCATTATTTAAAACATTGCCAATTCTTTCTTCTTCATCACTAGCCTCTGCAATTTCTGGGCGAACAACAACAATATCAATTTCGTTCTGGTCATTATTAACATTATCATCATCTGGCATTTTTAAACAACATTTTTAATCTAGGCATTTTTAAACAACCAGAACATCAAAAGGAATAAGTGAAAAAGGAGATTGACTACCCGTTTCCTGCTGATGTTGCATCAATGCAACACCTGTTTCCCCTTCCTTCCCAACACAAATATAAACATCTGACTGATATAATGTTTTGATAAATGGTGACCTTGACTAAAAATAGATCACTTATAAAGACGGCGAAATATTTTCAGCAAAAATACCCGGTCGAAAATTTTGCTTAAAGTACGATATTGATTATTATAAACAAAATGATTGTTGAAGGCAAATATTTTTTTACAGAAATAATCTTCATAATATTCTCTACACAAAATCATCTGCTGGTATAAAATATCTTAGGTAGTTATATTTATATACGCATTTATTTTGACTGTTGCGCCAACATTATACAGTACGGAATTTGGGAGGTTTTCCTCTTTCTCCGCAAAATCTCTAATATTGAAGCAGCAGACTTTTTTTCTTGTCACTGTCCAATCTGGATTGAATAGGACTAAAACTTTTTGCAGTCTACACAACCCAAGCGAAGATTGATTCTATTCCGGATATTTAAGGCAGTCTGTTGAAAATTAGAATCAGAAACACCCCAGATTAGTAAGTCTCTTTCTTTTCCTTTATTTAGTTCTTTACTCTCCGAATATTGGCAGCTGTTGATTCCAATTGCTTAATATCACATGTGGAAGAATTACGCTGCCTGTATTGCACAATAACGTTTGCGAATTAATTTTAATGTTCAGTCTGAGATTTGTTCATCAACATTTAAAAGAGTTTTACTGTGCTTTCTAAGCAGAATATTTCTGAGTTCCGTTGGTCTATTTTTATATGGTGCACATATCGAAATGTCAAAATCATTTATTTAGCTGAGAAATCTAAAGAACAGCTACAATCTCCCCCCTTCTCTTTTTTCAGTTACGCTCGACTATACGGAATATTCGGCAATTTCCGAGTATGCGGGTTAGTTAAGCTTTTACTGTTAAAGGATGACTGCATTAAGCAATTTCCCGTCTCCTGATTTCAGAAAAGTGCCTCTTTTTTACTTAAATTACTTTGCTTGGAATATATGTTAAGGGAAAACTGTTATGCAATGAAAATTTATAAAATGTTCAGAATTTTGATTTAAGTTAAATTATTTAAATATTAATATGAGTGTAAAAAATTGTATTATTAGGTGCCAAACGAATACAATTAATATGGCTTGTTACTTATTTTCTATATTTTGAACTGAAATTTTATCATTAAATCTTGTAATATAATTTAGTTCTGCAAGGTTTTTTTTCTGCATAGTTTTGTAAACTAATTCTGTAAATTGAACTTAATTTAAAATTTAAAAAAAAGTTAATTGTTTTCCATGGTTGAGATAATGCTCATTCTTTTAATAAATTTTGCATTGCTCATATTTTAAATTACAAGTCTAATTTTACTTTTAAGGTTATGCAGTTGTGTATAATGTAATTAGACGGATCCTTATTTTTTCCTTAAAATGTGCTTGAAAATGGCTTATAGGTGTTTATTTTTTTTAACTAAAATGTGGCTACGAACCCTGTGATGTCTTTTTCATATTTGATGTATGCTATTAGGGAGTTAGTCAAAATTTCACACAAACAAAACGAAACAAACAAACAAACAAAAAAAAAAAAACCTAAAAGCTATAAAGTGCAATTTAAAGTTAGGCTCATCAATCTTTGATTAGTGTTAATTTTAAATAAAGCTCAATTGAGGGTAAGTTTTTTACCTTGAATGACCTATTTTTGAAGGTAAATATAACATTTTATATTGGTATGTCTCTCTTCTAATCACTATAGTGTAGTTTTATTAAATTGAATTGCTGAAGTTTGACCTGATTAGAAATTTGTGCAGTCCTATCCATGGCTTTTGTTCCGATAACTGAAGAAAGCATTAGGTGGCAATTTATTTGCAGTAAAGCAGAAAAATATTTCTTGTTTACTTAAAAATTTCGAGATTTTCATGCGTTATACCTATTGAAGTCATTTCAGTTTTATGAAGTAAAAGCAGTTTTTTTTTAAATTGAATATTTCCACTTCAAATAATTTTTCCATTTTTTGTATAAATTAAAAAAAATATTTCTGAAACATTTAATTCAACTACTGTTGTACAACTATCTCAGTACTATTTTTCATTAGATAAATCATTTTGATTTTTACAGTGATTTGGTACTTCTGCTGTGCAACTGCACCTTACTTTAAGAATTTTCTATTGCATATGTAGATGTCATTTCAAATGAAAATATTAATAGCAATCAGTTGTGGCAATAATTATATTTCAATTATCTAATTAGAAATAGTTACTGTAGATTAAGCATTTGTGAGGGCATGCCATTTTGTTCAATATTTAGTATTTTAATGGACTAAGGTTGTCTTTTGTGTTTATTTTATTGTGCAAATTATTCTAGGTTTTATCTGCATTAGGAACCGAAACATTTAGACCTAGTTCTGCTGCTCAGTGCGTGGCATACATAGCAGTTGCTGAATTACCTCGTGGAGAATGGCCTGATCTTATTGTGATGCTCACTCAAAATGTAACAAATGCTGCAAGTACTGAAATGACAAAAGAAGCCACATTAGAAGCAATAGGTTATATATGTCAGGATATTGTAAGTAAAAACTGTATTTTCTAATTTCTATCTTTTTGGGGGGCTTTAAAATAAACATTTAATTATAATCATCCAAAACTTATAAAGCATCTTTTTAATCATTATCAAAGTGACAGCAGGAAATTTCTTTGCTCCTCCCCCCCCAAAAAAAAAACTTGCTGATTACCTTTAGTGTTATAGTAATCATCTCCCAAATCTATGATTTTCTGCCAACGTTTCGGTAGTTTTTATAAACCTGCAGCCCAGAAACTTGTTGGCTGCGACTCCAAAACCTGATTAACCTCATTTTGAACATCCTGTGCAGAATAGAAGGTAGCACCAGTAAAATATAGCTGCGGGTGTGAAATAAGGTAAAAGTTCGAAAGAGCGATGTCAGTTCTATATGGTGGGTGCGACAAAGGATCCCATTCAAGTCTGTGTAAAGAACAGCCTGTGAATGCAATCACATGTGCTCTTATTAACTTGATAGAGCATTGAGTTTTTGCATCAGAATTTTGTTCGACGTTTTTCCTTGATAGCAGCGTCAACATATGGACTGGTATCTCACTGTACATCTTACTGTCAGGGTTCCACCTTTCAGATACTCTTTGTGGATAATACCATGGCAATCTCACCAGATACAAAGCACAACATTTTTGTTGATCAAATTGTGTTTTGTGACGTTGCTGACGGTGTCATCAGTTGCAGACCAAGCATTTTCGGCCTGTGTGGTTGAAGTAAATGCATTTTTCATCACAAATGATGATCCGGTCCAGAATTTTGACCTTGTGTTGATATATTCGAGCAGATTAGTGCAGTCCCGAACTTGTCTGTCTGTATCTGTTTGAGTCAGCTTATGCAGCACACAGCGATTGAGCTTGTATGTCATGTTTATGTGATGCATAGCACGACTAATGGACATGGCCCTAATGTCTATTTCCTGAGCAAGGTCTCGAGTGGTTGGATACTGATGTTCTTCCACAAGTTCTCGCAGGCTGCCTCATCAACATCAGTAGGCTGGCCAGAGCACTTTGCTTCTTGAATATCAGTCCTTGTCTTTGAACTTTCAATACCAAACCTTCACAGTGTCATATGATACAATGTTAGTATCTAAAGCTTTACATTTGGTGACACTCTGTAGCTGACTTTTTTGCCGCAGAACTGGATGTAAATGATGGTTCTAATCTGGTAGCATGATAGTTCCATTTCAGACTTTTTGTACTTAATAATAATATTTTCTTACAAATTTAACAGTACAGTGTTCTAAAGCAAGTCTCTTCTTTTCAAATGCCAAAAAATCGTATGACAAAATATGATTAAACACTGCAAAGCAAACTGTGCATATGATATTTATGGTGGTGGGAAATTTCCATTAAAACTTGATAAATGATAGCTTAAGAGTTTTTCAATATAATTGGTGTAAAATGAAGGAAAGTAATAAATAGGTATTCAAAACTTAATTACAAATACTTGAATCTTCAATTAATAATAAGATTTATCTGATACAAAATATTACTGAACGTATCAGTGGTGAAAATTACATGTACCGTATATTCCGGTGTATAACGCGCACCTATAATATCAAACTGCATTTCTTAATTTTAGGTATATTTCCTGTGTAACACACACTTTTTTCTTTACGAAGAAACCCGAAGGATACATATGCAATGCTCTTGTTTGTGCCTTATGTAAAATTTGATTATGTTATCTGCAAGAGGGTGCCTGCGAGTGCCGAACTACCTGTATATCTATTGTACGAACTTGTTCTTGTGACAGCCTAATAAACGCAATAACAAACTTTTGTTTCTACTTTCCATCCGCTAACATGGTCCGTCATAAGCCAGCGCAATTCTTTGGATGATGTGTCAAGACATTTTTAACGTTCTGATATAGAAGGATATTTCATGCAAGAAAAACGGATTTATTTTTTGTCTGGATTGCGAGAACAGCTTCAGAAATATGGAGTCAATTTTAAAGCAAAAGCGAATCATTAAGGGTAAGTTGACTCGTTTAATTTCACAAGTAAATGGTTTGCAAAATCAAGAAAATTCTTTTTCTGCCATTGAAGTATACGAAAATGATGTTGGTGCATTGAGTGTTGAAGTGAACTGTTTAAACAATAACATTCTTGGTACTTGTTCTGATGCATAGTTTAGTAAATATGAAATAGAAATGAATGAACTGTTTTTTAAATTGGATGTACAGTCAAAAGTCGTTAATCCGGACTCGTCGGGACTTCAGCGATTCCGGATTATCGATTTTTCCGGATTATAGATCATCAGTTTAAATCTGGTAAGATGGTATGCAGAAATTACAAAATTAAAAATATGAAACCGTAATTTATAAAATAAAGAACAATTATGATCTAAAGGGTATCAAAATTTACAAAAAGAAAAAGCTTAATATTTATTTGTTTACTTTATTAAACATTTCTTTCAATGTAAGTTGCTTTGTTTCATGTGATAATACTTTCTCTTTAATTCTATTAAACAGACATAATTTCTTGTTTAGTTACAAAGTTCCGCTGTTCAAGTCCTATAATTGCTGTGTTGAGAATACCGACTAATTTGTCAATGGAAATGTTTTCGTTTTCAATAACCTCTGGGTCACTTTCTTCACCATCCGAAGCGAATTATAATGACCAGGAACTTGATTTAAATCATATCAAAGACCGAGTACATCGAAATGAAATACTACACTTAGTACGGAATTATAAACCAAATAAAATAAAAACATCTGCCCTGAAGATAAGGATAGTGCTGACAGATCAACTTATCGGCCATGTGAAATTGATAAACAGATTTCGGATTTCAAAACATACTTTCGCTTTGTAGATACAAATTACATATTAGTAAATATATATCGGAAATTCTATTTGACATATTCTTTCTAATCTATCATAATCTAATAATGACGTTTCTGCCCCCCCCCCCCTCTGGCGTGAAATTGATAAACAGATTTCGGATTTCAAAACATACTTTCGCTTTGTAGTAAATATATATCGGAAATTCTATTTGACATAATCGAAAGTTCAAACTTACTTTTATAAAATTGCTCTAACAGTCTGCAAAAAATAATAAGCCGGATCCATTTCGAAGATTAAGGAACAACGCAATCTGAAACATTAACTGAATTAGATAACTTTAGCTTAGCGTATAACTCCGTTACACATTAAACGCGCATGTGCACAAACATATTTGCAGCCGTAAGAGTCTTACGCGCTCTCGTAAACGCCTGTGCGCATGCGTGAACGCGACGCAAGCGCAGAAAGTTTGTAGCTTTGAGGTCCGGATCATAGATCATTCCGGATTATGGGTGTCCGAATTAACGACTTTTGACTGTATTAAAAATTACTTTAAAGGAAGAATCAAGAAAACTTAGTAATTCAGGCAAAGATATAATGAATGCTAATGCAAACGGCTTGAAACTTCCTCGCGTAGAACTGCCAGTGTTTACTTCTAATTATGTTGATTGGATATTAGTTAGGGATTTATTTCTTGCCAGTGTTGGAAATAATAGTACATTAAGTGACAGTCAAAAATTGCAAAATATTAAGCTTTCTGTGAAATGTGAAGCTGCGAATTATGAAAAGGCATGGGAAGCACTTATTGAATGTTATGAAAACAAAATAGAAATAATAAACGCAGCATTAAATAAATTAACTTCACATCCTGTTCTAAAACATGAATCAGCTTCAGGTTTGCGGAGGTTAACTGAGACAACACAACAGTGTATTGATACATTAAAAATCCTTAAACAGCCACTAGAGCATTGGGATACTATAATTATTTTTCTGTTAAAAGGAAGACTATCATGAAACACTAAAAGAGTGGATGATAGAGCATTCAAACAAAAAAAATTTTTGCTTTCGCTGAATTCGAGCATTTTATTTTAAACAGAGCGAATGCTATTGCCTCTTTGGCGAAGTGCCAGAGGGAGAAGGCAGTTTTGTCTTCTGAAATTAAAACTAATGGTTCAGGTAGCAGATATGCCTTTTTCGTTCCAACTTGTGGCTAATGTGTGTGTTCATTGTAAGAGTAATTCTCATTCTCAATTATTTAAATGTTATAGATTTTTAGAATTCCCTATCAAAGAAAAATGGGATATCACTAAAAGGAATAAATTATGTGCTAATTGTTTGAAAGATAGTAAAACACATCCCATTTTCAAATATCGTGCAGGCATGTGTAAATATTGTTCAAAGCCACATAATACAGTGTTACGTTCAAAAAATTCAAAAGATGAAAAATGTCATATACCCATGGAACACGGAACTTCTGCTATTAGTAGCAATAACGCCACGGTGCCTGTCACGCAAGCAGTTTTATTGCCTACTGCGGTTGTTCATGTTAAAGATATTAATGGCGATTTACAAAAATGCAGGATGCTAATTGATTCTGGTAGCCATGGCTCATTTATTTGGGAGCACTGTGTAAATTTACTAAAGCGCACTAGTGCAAACATAAGTGTTAATGGCATGGCTTGAGCTCACAAAAAATTGGAAAGGTTTCAGGTTCAGTTCAATTACAAGTAACATCTCCATTTTATAAAAATGTAAGCATTTCAGTTAATGCATTAATTATACCCAAGATCACATGTGACCTTCCTTAATATCAAGTTGATAGATCTGTTTTGACATCTTTCAAACACTTTGTGGTTGGCAGATACAAATTGTTTCCAGCCTGGCCCAATAGATATTCTTTTAGGCGCAGATGTATTTGGCAAGATAATGCTTCATCGACGTTTAACTGTTCCGAGTCATTCGTTAACAGCCTTGGAATCGATATTCGGCTGGGTCATTATCGGAAAGACTAAACGTGTATCACAACAATTGTATCTAATCATGCTAGTTGTACCATTGTTCAGCTCCAGCTTGAAAAATTTTGGAAATTGGAAGAAATTTCGGAGATAAACCATTATACAGAAGAAGAAATTGAGTGTGAAAATCATTTCAAGCGGAATTTTTCTCGTGATTCAACAGGTAGATTTGTTATTAAGTTTCCATTTCGTAGATCTAGCAA